CTGACAGCAGAAATACCAATCAAGAAACAACAGCCATTTGGCCATGAAGCACAAAGAAAAGAGTCTGTTGAAACTTGGAAAAAGTGGGAAGAAGAAAAATCAGATTTGAACAGCCATGAGGGAAGTGCAGTCTCACAGGGACAAAGGCCAATCAGCTATTTAATATTACTTCATTCTAATTTGCACTCAAGATTTTTATCCCATTGTGGCCAAGTCCAAGATTAGAAGTCAGATTAAGTTGTGTGGAATGGGATGACTGAGATTTGCTGCCAAATCCTTGTCTTGCAAGAGTGACAGGAGGTGCATTCACATAGACTAGTTACAGTAAGTCATCACATTATCCATGCACCCTTAGGCAAATGTAATTTCCCAAACTCTTTAAATGGCTCTGAGCCAAACTAAGAGGAGAAATGCAGAAAAGAATGAGAGTTAAAGAATGATGAAAAGACCAACACTGGAACAACAAATGGAGTTTCAGTCCATCAACCAGCACATGCTGAATCACAGAAAAGGCAGTGATTTAACCACATCAGAAAAAGCATCCTCAGTGTATCAAATTGTGCACTGATATTGTCATCCTTTATTCCTCTGCAGCACTTTGGACAACATTTTTTGTGTAATAAATCACACAGTAAAATATATTTCATATTGCTATCATCTTTCAGTCGAGTCATAACATGAAACCTATGACTATGAAACCTATGGATACAACCTATGTATTCAAGTTAGACAGTGATTAATATTTATATGTTATTTATATATAAGGGTGAAAGTTTATACATATGTTGTATATAGCATGTTTAAATGTGTGTTATATTTGTGTACACTTTTAAGAACAAGCAACTAAATTTCATTTTTAATGTGTGCCAGTGTGTCCACAGTAAAAAAACGACAATAAAGGTTATCTTATCTTATCTTGTCTTGTCTCGCCTCGCCTCGCCTTGCCCCGCCCCTCCCCTCCCCACCTCGCCTCACCTCACCTTACCTCATCTTATCTTATTTCAGCTCAGCTCATCTTATCTTATCTATCTTATCTTTACCAATGAAAGATGAACTCATTTATTTTTAGTTAAAAAAGAGTCACTTTTCAGGTATATTGGAAGAGATAAAGTGATAGTTTGTTCATTACATTTATTTTGTATAATTTTGTTTTATAATAGTTTGCTATGTTCCATCAATCTCAGTGGAGCATTGACACATAGGATCTTTTCAAGTAAAATTTTTTTTAATAAATAATAAAAAATAAAAATTATAATCAGCTATGTTTTCAAATCAGACAGTGAGAAAAACTGGAGAATACAAGCATATAAGCAGCAGTGATGATGATGATGATGATGATGATAATGATGATGTTGGAAGGGACCTTGGAGGTCATCTAGTCCAAACCCCTGCTCAAGCAGGAAACCCTATACCATTTCGGACAAATGGCTATCCAGTCTCTTCTTAAAAACCTCCAGTGTTGGAGCATTCACCACTTCTGGAGGCAGGTTGTTCCACTGGTTAATTGTTCTAACTGTCAGGAAGTTTCTCCTTAGTTCTAGGTTGCTTCTCTCCTTGATTAGTTTCCATCCATTGCTTCTTGTCTTGCCTTTAGGTGCTTTGGAGAATAGCTTGACTCCCTCTTCTTTGTGGCAACCCCTGAGATATTGGAACACTGCTATCATGTCATCCCTCGCCCTTCTCTTCATTAAACTAGACATACCCAATTCCAGCAACCGTTCCTTGTAAGTTTTAGCCTCCAGTCCCCAAATCATCTTTGTTGCTCTTCTCTGTACTCTTTCTAGAGTCTCAACATCTTTTTTACATCACGGTGACCAAAACTGGATGCAGTATTCCAAGTGTGGCCTTACCAAGGCATTGTAAAGTGGTATTAACACTTCACGTGATCTTGATTCTATCCCTCTATTAATGCAGCCTAGCATTCTGTTGGCTTTTTTGGCAGCTGCAGCACACTGCTGGCTAATATTTAAGTGACTGTCCATTAGGACTCTGAGATCCCTTTCACAGTTACTACTACTATTGAGTAAGGTACCTCCTAAGCTATATCTGTGCATTTGTTTTTTCTTGCCTAAATGTAGAACCTTATTTTTTTCACCACTGAATTTCATTTTGTTAGATAGCACCCAATGTTCAAGTCTGTAAAGATCCTTCTGTATCTTAAGCCTATCTTCTGGAGTGTTGGCTATTCCTGCCAGCTTGGTGTCGTCTGCAAATTTGATGAGTTCCCCATTTATCACCTCATCCAAATCATTGATGAAGATACTGAAGAGCCCTGGGCCCAGGACAGAGCCCTGGGGCACCCCACTACTCACTTCCCTCCATATACAGTAGATGTAGTTCCATTGAGGACTATACACTGAGTACAGCTGGTCAGCTAGCTACAAATACATCTGGTGGTGATGCTGTCTAACCCACATTATTCTATCTTATCAAGTAGTAGGTTGCGATCTACTTTATCAAATGCCTTATTGAAGTTCAAGTAAATTATATCCACAGCATTCCTCTGGTCCACTAATTTTTTTACTTGGTCAAAGAATGTGATAAGATACCTGAGTGGCTTTCAACAATGGAAGCATTTGCTTATCCAAATCTGATTAATTATGACAAACTGGTTAGTTATAAAGACATTTTAGATAAAGAGGGAAAACTTAAGGACAGGCAAACTTTATAACTACAAGGTATCGATTTGACATGGTGGTCCTATTTGCAAATTCAAACAAGATATGAAAAAGATATAAAATCGACAGGTTTTTACAAAGAACAGACCCATTGGATAAAATTTTGTTAAAAACAGATGAGAATTTGAGTAGAAAACTCTATAAATTTCTTCTAAACTGGAAGATGGAAGAAGAACAAGTGAAAGAAACAATGATAGTATGGGCAAAGAACTTTGGATATTCTATAGATTTGGAAGACTGGCAAAAACTTTGGGATAAAAACATTAAGCTTACAAAAGCGGTAGCATATAAAGAAAACTTATATAAGATGTTCTATAGTTGGCATATGACACCAGTTCGCTAGCAAAAATGTTTAAAAATGTTTTGGATATTTGCTGGAAATGTAAACAACAGCCAGGCACTTATTATCATGCCTGGTGGACATGCCCTATCGCTAAGAAATATTGGTCTAAGATTCATAGATGGTTGGAAAAGATGATGAAACTACAAATAGAATTTAAACCAGAATTGTTTTTGTTAGGAATATTAAGACCTAATTATGGTAAAGAGAATGACTACTTGATATTGCATGTTTTAACTGCTGCAAGGATAGTATTTGCCCAGTTTTGGAAAAATGAGAATCTACCATCTGATCAGATTATTATTACCAAAATTTTAGAGTGTGCAGAAATGGATAGACTAATGTTAGAAATGAAAGAAAAAGATGATTCAATTTATTTTAGATCTTGGGAAAAATTTTATCAATGGTTAGAGACACGTTAGAACTTGAAGGATTTAATATTTTAGAATAGATGACTGATTTTTAATCAAGTTCTAACTAACACTTTGATGATACGATTACTTTTCCTGATTTACTGATTTTCATTTGTTACTTTTGATTGTTAGGATCTATTTTTTGTGTGTGTGATTTTATTAGTAGTGTTTACTTAATAGATCAACGTATTTGCTTACTAATTATTTTTAATATATTACAGTTTAAGCTTTCTTAAAAATGGTTGAATATGATATTTACTCATTATTATGAACCGGACGGTTGCTTGTTTGTTGAAATATGTGATTGTACCTATCCTTATTTTACCCTAATTCCTTATTTCCTTCCCCTCCCCCTTTCCTTTTACCCTTCTCTTTACCATACCTGTATTCTTCCTATTTTTCCTCACCTATATAAATTTAATAAAATTTTGTTTAAAAAAAAAGAATGCGATAAGATTTGTCTGGCATGATCTGTTTTTGACAAACCCATGTTGGCTTTTGGTAATGACTTTGTTTGCCTCTAGGTGTTTGCTGATTCGTTATTTGATTATCTTTTCCAGAATCTTGCCAGGTATTGAGGTTAGGCTGATAGGTCTGTAATTTCCTGGATCCATTTTTTTTTTCCTTTTTTGAAGATGGGAACTACATCAGCTCTTTTCCAGTCCTCCGGTAGTTTTCCAGTGGTCCAGGATCTTTGAAAGATATAGTTCAGTGGTTCTGAGATCACATCTGCCAGTTCCTTGAGAACCTTGGGGTGTAATCCATCTGGTCCTGGTGATTTGAACTCGTCTAGGCTGGACAGGTGCTCACTTACCATTTTCTTGCCTATCTTAACATGTGTTTCTAATCTGTTTTTTGCGATACTGTTTTTAATAGGTTGGGCTGTTTTTTCCCTTTGTGTAATATAAGCTGATGGCTGCAATGCCATTTTTCTTGGGTTCAGGAAGTACCTTCTGGGTGTGAGATTCTCAGGTTTCCTGTAAATTATATCTGTTAAATGTGGAAACAGCTTTGCCAAGCATACCTGTCTAGTGCACTTTGCAAAGCATGAGCACCCATGCTAGTTTGCTTTCCCTCTCACATTCTCATGTGCACAAATGGCAATAACAGGGCTTTTGTTCCCCTGTCTTGAATGAAGTATCTGGGATCCACAGGGGACCATCAGTTCAGAACAAGGGGTGTCTCATTTCTTCCCCAGAGTGGGGAAAGGTAGATATGAACATCACTTTCTAGATTACCCAAGGTTCACCCTCCAGCTTGCTCAGGCCTTTCAATCTTGACCTCTGGGGCTCATAGAGTAGAGCTCAAGTAGTTTACAGATTCTGCCAATTTTAACCCTTCAGTCTCTTCCCTGATTTCTTCATCCATTCCCCCCCCCCACCAGTCGTCTTTTGGCTCTGATGGGGACTGTACCCTGGATGATTTAAGCTCTTTCCTTTCCTTTGTAAATGATTGTCTTGTCAACTTGCAGAACATAATCCTGACATTATCCTAACATTGATAATGTTTCCCTAGTTTCATAAAGAAAATGGAAACTGCAACTGAAAAACTCATTATAGGGGGGGAGGGTTTCTTGTGCATGTTTTGTTTATTCTTTTTTGTTTGTTTGTTTCTTCATACATTTAGAAAACCCTCTATTTTCTGCCCTTGATATTTGAAAGGTTGACCTAGAGAACATGATTTGGACCTCGCTGGTTTAAATAGGTTGACTCTAAGTATGATTAAATCTGGATCCAGTTCATGTAGGGCTTCTGATTTAATATCACAGCAAGCATATAGCAACACAGTGGAACATTTTTTCTTTTTTTCAGCCAGTATTCATGCTAATTTGTCAGTTTTGGATGGAGTATAGAAGATTCCATTTTTGAAGTAGAAAGTACCTTTTACAATACAAGATTTTTTGTGAACTGGTGTCCTGATGTCCTTAATGGTGTCTCCTGAAATAAAGGTGAAGTTGAGATATATTAACAAGTCAAATAGGGGTAGTTGTAGTTAATATTTTACTTTTTTTTAAATTAAAAACAAAATGGGCATGCAAATATTAAAAGAAAAAGCAGGTCCTTCAAAGCAGAATAAAAAGGTTATCACTGTATACAGTATCAATCTTCTTTAAGGTTAGCATCTGTCCATGTGGTTGGGGAGGCCAAGGGGTTCAAACCAAAAGAAGCAGCTTTATGGCATTGCAGTGGAAGCCCCGCCCCCTTTCTTACATGAAAGAAGCTGGAACCGGTAAATACCACCATTATGGGTGTTCACAGGCAGCAAGGGACTGGAGGGGCTTAACATCAGCAAGGTGGCAGGCACCAGGCTATAACCAATAGTCATCAGACGGTACACTGGAAAACTAATAAAAACTAGCAATTAATCCCACATCTATTAAGCAAGGATGATCTAGTTGCTTGGCAGTACTCAGAAGCTTGCTATTTTATTTTGTTATGCATTAACTTATATACACTGATGGCTTTGTTACAGCAACGATAGATAGATAGATAGATAGATAGATAGATAGATAGATAGATAGATAGATAGATAGATAGACAGATAGATAGATGTTAGATAGATAGATAGATAGATAGATAGATAGATAGATAGATGTTAGATAGATAGATAGATAGATAGATAGATAGATAGATAGATAGATAGATAGATAGATAGATAGATAGATAGATAGATAGATAAGGTTTCTTCTTAATGTTTGCTGAGGTATGTTTGAATAGAAAACACCAACCACCACATCTGTACATAACATAACGCCCTAGCCACAGCTTCCTTGGAAAGGTACTTTCTTGAATAATTTTAAAAAGAATTCCAACTGACAAATGACGCAATGTTCAGGTCCCTCAGGCAACAAACACAATTCATCATCTGGTAAGGCAAGATAACAATAGACATGTCATCCATTTCCTGACATGATGAAATCTGCACCAGGGATTTATTTGCCCTGAAAGACAGATTGCTTGTGAGATCACCACCTATAGCTGCAAAGAGTGATGACATATTCTGCTCAAATCTCCACTACAGACATCTGTGCATGCTTACAGTTAGCAAGTAACTATGGTTTCCTCTCATCTGACAAGGAAAAGGAATCCTGTTTTGTTGGTTGCTCAATTTGAATATGTTTGAATTACCTAAGGATCTACTGTTTTATAGCTCCCGCTGAGCAAAATGTGGCTTGTAAAACAATAATGCACAAAACAACCCATTATGAAGAAGAGAACTTATTATAAGGCATAAGATAGTTACAATTTGAAGAGAAACCAAAGGAAAGGGTGGGTGAACAAAATAAAAAGCATTTGTGGAAGAAAACTCAATGTCCACCTCTATAACAGCAATACTCTATGCAGAAATTCATTTTTTCTTGCATTTTCAGACAGAAATCTTTACATTTAGAGCTGTAGGGACTACAATTGTAGTTATCAAGGTAAACTTGTCTGAATAATGTTGAGCAGAAATCCACTTGTTAAATGACATAATGTCCAGTTTCCATTGTAAAACAGCCATGATTCATTAGCTGACAAGATAAAGATAAACATGTCATCAGCTTCCTGACATGATAAAACAGATGTATAGTTAGGCCTTACGACTCCGTTGAAGGTACTGGAACTTTATTCAGATTCCATCATTAAAAATGAATTTATGGTGAGTGGTTAGCTGAGCAAGCATAATTCTTTCTCTTAGCAATGCCAAATTGGCCAGCAAATCTCAAATGGAACATGTCTAAAAACAACTTCAGAAGGATATGATGTGTGGGTTCCCAGACCTTCCGTTCACAACCAGTTGCTTTCCAGGTATTCCCAGCTGAGATTTCTGTCAGTTGTAAACTCAAGACATCTGGGGAGCATCAGCTTAGGGAAGATCTAAGATCAGGATTTTCTTATCTTAGCAACTTTAAGATGTTGAACTTTAAGATGTTGGACTTCAACTTCCAAAATTCCCTAGCCAGCTGGGAAATTCTGGAAATTGGAGTCATTTTAAAGTTGGTAACATTGAGAAACCCTGGTCTAGACCAACTTAACTTTATGGAAAATTTTTATGGTCAAAAAACAAATATATTTACAGTAGTTTATTTATAATTTTAGCAATATATAAAGCTACCTGACTCCAATAGTGGTGGTCATGCCATCATTACCCCACATATAGAGCTGTTCTGATTTCTGTCTATAAGCTAGCAAAATGACTCCAAATTACAATAAAACGAAGTTCAGAAGATAAATAAGCAAATGTATTAGTACTTTGACCAGATCCATGGGCAAAGTAGTTGTTTTGTATTTATCTATATGTCTCTATAATGCCAGCCTCTTTAAATCATAGTCCTAAAACCCCTGGAAATTATCAAATTAGGAAAAGATTTGCCTGAGGCATATTTAAGGAATGTAGGCCCAATGCAAAAAAATTAGGTTTGGAATTCCCACCCCTTATTTAAAACCTAAATTAACACTGAAGATGGACTCTTATAATAAAACAAAATGCTAACACTGATCATTCAAAATAGAATTTCATTAAATCTGAACTTAATAATATTAAATACAGAATGTATCTAGAAGGGACACTAGGTCAAAAATTAATACAGTATTAATTCAACAACAATGAATTTCTTCTTCAGAATGAGGGAGATGTACATTTCTTGACAAAGAAAGAAATTAATTTTATTCTAAAATGAGACTTTGTTTTCTTCCCTCCATACTTCTATTGCCTCCATTTCAATGACAAAAAAACCCATCATATGAGAATAATCATACTTCCTGTAATATCTTAGTATCTACATTTTCCCATGTGCTGTTTCCCATCCTTTAGGACAGTTACCATTATCTTAACCCTGCTCCCAATCATAATAAATCTCAAGAATCTTTGTTGAGACACTTCACTTCAGAAGCTTTGTCCAAGTCTACACCCACTGTGTTGACCACTTGCTGGCACTCCTGATCGCCATTCTCCCCTGGAGGAAGCAAATAGGATTGGGAAGGCGGTATTTCTGGAGTGCTACTCTTGCAGGGATTACTAATAGTGGATCCCTTGAAAAGAAGACCTGGGAAGCCTAGCAAGACACCTCCCAGCCTCACCTAGATCCTAACAGGTGGAAGAGTGGGAGGGAGGGGGTAGCAGTGCAACTGGGCTTTGGTTAGCACTGGGTAGGCTGGTGGCAGCCACAGGGCAAGGGCAACCACTAAAATATCCTAGGCGAGGAAGATATTAATGAAGAGTGAGGTTTTACAACTACATGCACCTCCAAGTAACAAAACAACTATAGATACATAGGGACTGTGGTTGTATTGCCATCAATAAACTGGATGCCCTTACAGCATCTCCATATCGTCTCCCATTGGAAGCATCAGAGTGGGGAACCAGCAACTGGGTTCTGCTTACCTAAGCGCCAACCATACTCCCACGAAGACAGCACTGGGTAGTAAAATTTTTCTTCAGGAGACTTCATCATTCTCTCTTTGAGGTACTGCTGCCTCCCTTTGCCTTCATGGGAGAAGCCCTTGTATAGCAGCTGTGTGGTCTCTGGGGTTGGGACCCTCATCTCTGGAAGATGCTCCTGAAGACTCAGCCCAACCTTCTCTTCTGCTGGCTCCTGCTGGTCCTCCTTTTGGGGAGCTCCTTCTCGATTTCTAGAGCTTGAGTGCTCCTTGGGAAGGTAGATGGCAGGCAGCAAACACTTTTGCCTGGAGATGCGCTGGGGGTATTTTCGTCCGTATTTTGCCTTCCAGCTGATCCTGCAGAAAACCTCCTTGTTAATCAGTTCCCTCCAACCATCCTGTTCCTGACTAGTTAGTAGGCCCCTCATAGCGTGCAAGCCAAGCCAAGCGCTGGTGCAGGATTCTTGGAGGTGTTTGGTATAACTTATCACTTCCTGCTTCTGGTGTCCAAGGAAACAGGCACAAAAGGGTCTGTGAAGCCAGGCTCAAATTACAAGCCAATGGTTTGCCTCGTTTTCCCGCTACAGTTGCTAGGCTATTGTTGCATTAAGGCTGTCTGTGCATGGAAGGAGAGAGATGCCAACAGTGCTGATTTTAGTGCAAGAAATGGCCTTAAATCCAACTGTCAATATGTGCAGGGGTTGTAAACCAACGTGAAATAACAATCTCTTTGAACATTTATGTGTGTCAATGTGTGCACACATATTCTATCTGCCTGTCTGTCTGTCTGTCTGTCTGTCTGTCTCTCTCTCTCTCTCTCTCACACACACACACACACACACACACCGTAAGCAATGGCTTTGCCATATATATTTTCCTTGGTTTTAAGTTGTATTGGAACTAGCCCAGGGAAAATGTAAATAGTTGTCAGCAGAAGCCGCATAATGTTGCATTGGCTAACTATCCTGTGTGGAGAGTGTTTTTCTCCCTGAAAGAGCAAAACTGGCTCTTGTTCAGCTTTGTTCAGCCCTACAAAACAAGGCCATTTCAACTGTTTGTTTGTCTTTTGTATTCCACAACCTTTTAAAAGGCAGCTTTTTCAGTCCAGCCCCCTTTGTAATAGCAAAGGTACACCTTCTCCAAGACATGTACCAGCCCACATCCTAAATCTGGAACTGATAAATCTCTCATTTGCCTTTTAGTGTGCATTTGAATGGTTGCCTTTTGCAATCATGAATCTGAATCCAACCAGAATTCAGCCAAGAACATGGGGGTAGGCAGTGAGAAGGGGAGAAAGAAGGCTAGTGAAAGAAAAGTCTCCAGAACAACTATGTGCTTTCCTTCTGTAAGGCTTCATCACTCAGTGGAAGACCCACCGCACCCTTTGAGAAATGAGAGAGTTTTGTTTTCAGGAGGTAAACTGTGACTTTAAAAAGACTAATCCCAGACCCCCACTCTAGTTTCAAGGAATACATAGTGAGCAAACTAATAAACATGAGGAGGGAATAATTTGAGCCACAACTTCCAATTAAATCTTGTGCCTTGGCATGGCATGGCAAACAGAATACCACAGTTTGTGATAGCTATATGTAATCTTCATGTTATATTAGAAAACATGTCATAATGCTAAACCAGGCTAGAGCAAATGAATATTTTTATCCCCCTGCCCCCACTACTGAAAGTAGAAAAAATAATTTTTGTCATACATATTACTTCTACCGTAACATCAGAGTCTTGCCTGAAGGAGACTGCACCACTATTAAGTTAATCTCCTGTTGGACAGCTCTTATTTTTTTTCCCCTAATATTTAAAGTCTACCTCTTTGTAATTCAGACCTATAGTTTCTTGTCCTATTCCTTGTAACACTTAATTGTTCTACTTCCACATGAAAGCACTTTAGATACATCACAGCAGCCATATCACAAGTTGTCCAGGTTAAAATTACCTAATGCTTCCGGTAATTTTTCATGAGTTATCTGTTCCAGATCCCTTATTGATTATTCACCTCATACATACTCCAATATTGTAGAGAGTAAGGAAGATTACCTTGCCAAACAAATATACAGGCTCTGTTCCCTAGACATTTGGGACTAAGCATTTTTAAAATCCAGAACATCCAGATATCATCTGGAAGTGGTTCAGGCAGAAACCTCCCAAATTCAGTGAACTATAAGAAGGAGGAGGAAGACAGCATAATCAGACTTGCAAGGTTCTTGTTATTGTAGTCAATCTCAATAGAAGTAGTTATAGACTACCTGTGGAGTTGATTTCTTGGAATAGTCTACCAGGTAGGGCGGAAGAGCATTTGCCTTCACCACTTCTTTGGGTTTATGCTTTTCCTCCATGATTTCACAGAAAGAGGCTGTGATATAATTAACTGAATCTTCAAGGTTTCAGATCCAATTGGTGATTTAAATTCATTCACGATACTGAATATGCTCTACCATCCCTGTTTCGTTTGGGTTGCCACTCCCTCCTCGTGTCAATTGCTGTGTTTAAATGTATTTTAAAACAATTCCTTTTGGGGGGAAAATATACCGTGTTTCCCGATAATAAGGCCCACCCAGAAAACAAGCCTTAGCCTGATTTTTTTAGCGTGCTGCCAAAAATAAACTGGGAGGGTGGCCATGGCCAGCACAGGAGGCAGCAAGCACACAGGGGGCGATGGTGTCTTTTGGTGCCAACAAAAATATAAGACTGGGTCTTATTTTCAGAGAAACGCGGTAACGGAAGTTGAAGATCTCTGACCTATCAACTGTTACCATCCTACAATTTATCCAAACAGTGGACTTACAATTTTATTTTTATTGTACTGATGGAATTAATAATTTTAAAAAGAGCTCTTTTATTGCTTTTGTTCCCCTTTTCTAATATAAGTTCCTTCTGCACTTCAACTTTTTCTCGATAGATAGTTGGTGTTTGCTGGTACACCTCCTAAGCAATTATACCCACCTTCCATTTCTTATTCACGTGTCTTTTAATTCAGCTCAGTCGAAAGCTCCATATCTATCCACAATGGGGTCTTGAAAATTAGAGATTCCTCTGTAGTGCAGTGCAGGAAATTTTTAAAAGTCTAGATACAAGTCATTACAGGAAGGAACATCATTCTGAGATGAAACAAACAGTGTCGTAACACTCATCCTTATGCATATGTACATAACTCCCACTAATTCACTAAGGCCTGTTTGAGATACTACAGAATATATATTCTGTCTATACTCCCAGTTTTTTTAAGTCATCCAAAACAAAACAAATTGGAAGCAAATGTTTAGCAGTTGGAGAACAAAAGGAGAGCACCTGTTCTTGATCTAAATGAAGACATTTTTTCTGCTCATTCAGGAAATAAGTATCTCCTCTGGCAAACTAATATATTCAAAAGAATGTTTTTTGTTTCTGCATAATCTGGTTTAGAGTTTGGGATATCTGTTACCCTGAAAGATGCCACTTCAGTAATCTACTATTGAAGACAAAGACCAAGTATAGAAAGCAATTAGAATTTTTTGATTCTGGTTTAATAGAGCAGCTCTCATGTAAGCCTATTATCATAAATGTATTTGATGCTTGAAGACTTTTATAGAAAATGGCGACCCTCTGGCTGGAGAATCTGCTGTTTAGGTCTTAGGAAATTTGCTAGAGGCATAACATATAGTTATCAGAATAGGACAGGCAATACATCGACATATAACATGATGGTTTTGACTTTGGCTATTTTGTGTGACTCCAACCACTAGGATTTGTATGCCACAATTTATGGTTTAGTTCAGGGGTGTCAAACTGCCAGCCCGCAGGCCAGATGCGTCATACCAAAACCGCACCCACCCTATTGCCAGCAATGGGGGAAAAGTCACAATATGTCATGACACGTCATGTGACGTCACGAGTTTGACACACATGCTTTAGTTCAATGTACAAATTCACCCAACAGAGGCTTGTATAACAAAACATGGTTAAACAATGCATTAGTACAGTGGTTCTCAACCTTTTTATACGGCGACCCCGGTCATAAGGATGCACCGCGCATGTGCGGCGTGGCCCCATGTGCGTGGCACGCATGTGCGGTGGCAGCCCCATGCATGTGGCACGCATGCACGGTGGCGCCCCCATGTGCGGCGTGTATGCGTGGCGATGGCCCCATGCGCAATGTGCATGCGCGGCGGCGACCCCTGGGGAAAAAATGGCGGATCGCATTGTTTGGCGGGCCCCGTAAAATGGTCGTTCGACCCCAAATGGGGTCGCAACCCAAAGGTTGAGAACCGCTGCATTAGTATAAGGTAAACCCAATAGCGAATTGCTGATGTAAAATCTTCTCTATTTGAAAAGCTGATTTTGTATATTCATTCAAACACAAGATCTGCATGAAGCAATGCCAGAAGCGATCACCTGGATATTTGAACTAGATATCCAGTTATGAGGCCACTGTTATACCCCCATAAAAACTTTACTTGTAATTACGTGGACTATGTATATATGTTTACTTCGCTTGTCACATTCTTCTCATATGCTAAATAATAATATTCATTCATGAACTACCAAACTCAGAATTTCTTCCTTCGTATTTATCTCCATGTGAAAAGTTGAATCCAAAGTGAATTTCTGGACAGTCTTGAATGAAACCAAATTTCATTGGGCTTGGTTTGAATACAAAAAAAATTGTCTTGTCCACTCCATGAGGATGGTCTTTGAAGAGAGATGGGACCTTTAGATTTTAAAGGAAATCAATTCTGATAATCTGACACATCAAGTTGGATGTGGAGTGGTTGAAATATTACAAGATGTTTTTTCTTCTGCTTATGTTTGATCACACCATGCAATCTAGAGCTGGATAGAACTGTTACCAGTATGCAATTTTCACTCATCTTTGTCAAGATCCAGCGAAACTATGGCTGCCTTGAATGTGATAGTGGTATGGATGTTGCAAACAAACAGCAATTCAGAGCAGTAGTAGTAGCATCCAACACCCATCCAAATTAGCTTCATAGTCCATTAGTTTTTATTAATTCAGCACCACCACTGAAGGCTATGTGGTTTCTATAGCTTAAGTGCCTTTTATCTATCTTTGGTCTATGTATAAACTTCAGTCTTTAAATTACTCACTAGAAGCAGGCTTTTTGGGCTCTGTTTTGAGCAGAACAAGATATCTACTACAGTATTTCAGGATTCTAAACCAATGCAAGTTTTATTTCCCTTTCTTCTTTTCCTCTTGTTTTTTAACCACATTGCCTGATGAAGCATTCTTGGAAATGCGACTTTGTACTCTTTCAGTTGGCTTTAAAAGAAATTGCCTTGGAATGGATTTTCATATCTTTTCTTCCCTCGTGGTCAACATCGTGGTTTTTGCTTTTACATATATTGCTAATTATGCTCCTTACTTAAAACTAATTTGCTTTGCCAAGCATCTGACTCCTCTATGCTATTTAATTTCCATTGAAAGCTGCCTGCGGGAATTTCAGATTAAGTCATATTATCCATTTGACATTAAGTTAAAAGGGAAAACTAATTATTGCAGAAACTCATCTCAGTTGTTTAACATGCACATTTTATTTCTTGAAGCAAACATTCAGGGTTTTTAATAAGTTATGAGATACAATATTACATTTATTCCAGTTTATTTTGCTTTTCTGATAGTTTACAATGTAGTGAGCATTTCACATTAAGGCACACAGTCCAGTTTTTTTTTAAAAAAAAAATCTGGCTATTCCATTTCCTTTTCAAGAAGCTGTGCTTAGACTTAGTGCATTGATATAAAACTATAAAAATA